TTATTATTATTATTAATACAACGTCTGAGTAATAGGAAATAATCATATTTCCTCTGAGAAAGACGAAAATAGCTCAAGTTACTTGGATCAGGAACCCATCGTCGGCATCGAGGCACTCCACTGGGACACAGCTGAGTTTGATGCGGGGCTTCCAGGGATATGAGGCACTAGACAGTGGGGGCTGAGGACCTCAGAGAGTCATTCCTCACAGGCCAAAGATGCAGGAATCTCGTACATTTCAGGTTCATTAGTCTGTGATTGATCTCCAAATAGAGGGACGGACAGAAGGCTCTTAATTTGTCTCCTCCGACTTAGAAAATCTAATTGACTGCCGAATGAAGGCTCTCATTTAATTCCCAACTTTTTCATTTGTATTTCAAGGGAGACTAATTTAATCTGATGGTCTCATTAAGAGATGTATGAATGCTAACTTATGGTTCAGGTTTTTTCCCGCGTCACTTCAAACTTGTCCAAAGATATTTTGCATATACACTTAGCAGAACTCGACTAAGAGAAAATATTCTTATTTTGACTTTTACCGTTTGTTGCTACAGAAGAAATATACTTATATATATATATATATATATATATATATATATATATATATATATATATATATATATATATATATATATATATATAAAATGTCGTGCCGAATAGGCAGAATTTGCGATCTTGGCTTAAATAGCAAAGCTCATCTTGCCATATAGGACAAGTGAAAATTTGTGTATGCAATAATTTCGCCAAAATCATTCCGAACCTAACGAAAAAAATATATTTCACTGTGTTTGTTTAGTATTAAATAATTGTAAACAAATCTACAATATATTTAGTTGGGTTAGGCTAAAATAAACTGCGCTTGTTATAATAAGGTTAGGTAAGTTTTCTAAGATACTTTTGGTGCAAAATTAAAAATTTTCACATTAACATTAATAAAAAAAATATATCTTTAAACGTATAAGATAAAATTTTAGAAAGGACTTAATTTTAAATGAGTTCTTGCTAATTGACCAGTTTTACATATTCGGCACGACATTATATATATATATATATATATATATATATATATATATATATATATATATATATATATATATATATATATATATATATATTATTTTTATTGTTTTATCACACTGGCCGATTCCCACCAAGGCAGGGTGGCTCGAAAAAGAAAAACTTTCACCATCATTCACTCCATCACTGTCTTGCCAGAAGGGTGCTTTACACTACAGTTTTTTAAACTGCAACATTAACACCCCTCCTTCAGAGTGCAGGCACTGTACTTCCCATCTCCAGGACTCAAGTCCGGCCTGCCGGTTTCCCTGAATCCCTTCATAAATGTTACTTTGCTCACACTCCAACAGCACATCAAGTATTAAAAACCATTTGTCTCCATTCACTCCTATCAAACACGCTCACGCATGCCTGCTGGAAGTCCAAGCCCCTCGCACACAAAACCTCCTTTACCCCCTCCCTCCAACCTTTCCTAGGCCGACCCCTACCCCGCCTTCCTTCCACTACAGACTGATACACTCTTGAAGTCATTCTGTTTCGCTCCATTCTCTCTACATGTCCGAACCACCTCAACAACCCTTCCTCAGCCCTCTGGACAACAGTTTTGGTAATCCCGCACCTCCTCCTAACTTCCAAACTACGAATTCTCTGCATTATATTCACACCACACATTGCCCTCAGACATGACATCTCCACTGCCTCCAGCCTTCTCCTCGCTGCAACATTCATCACCCACGCTTCACACCCATATAAGAGCGTTGGTAAAACTATACTCTCATACATTCCCCTCTTTGCCTCCAAGGACAAAGTTCTTTGTCTCCACAGACTCCTAAGTGCACCACTCACTCTTTTTCCCTCATCAATTCTATGATTCACCTCATCTTTCATAGACCCATCCGCTGACACGTCCACTCCCAAATATCTGAATACGTTCACCTCCTCCATACTCTCTCCCTCCAATCTGATATCCAATCTTTCATCACCTAATCTTTTTGTTATCCTCATAACCTTACTCTTTCCTGTATTCACCTTTAATTTTCTTCTTTTGCACACCCTACCAAATTCATCCACCAATCTCTGCAACTTCTCTTCAGAATCTCCCAAGAGCACAGTGTCATCAGCAAAGAGCAGCTGTGACAACTCCCACTTTGTGTGTGATTCTTTATCTTTTAACTCCACGCCTCTTGCCATATATATATATATAATATATATAATATATATATATATATATATATATATATATTATATATATATATATATATATAAATATACAAACACCACTGTGAAAGGGTAGTGAAATTCCAAGCGCTTTCGTGACTACTCACATTTATATATATATATATATAGGGACCCTCATCCTCAGAGAAAAGAATAAACTTGCTTCAGGGATAACTCAAGGTTCTCCCTGAAGCTGTTTGAGAATTTTCTCCTACCACCCCCTATATTTTATGTATATTTTATTTAAAGACAAAATACATTGACAAAACATTCACAAAAATACGATAGAAAGTAAAACATCATAGGTGACTCAGAGCTACATCTCGAATATTTCATCCAGCTCCCCGGCGGTGGGCCGCGTGCCCAGAATGCTGCAGGCATTTCCTCTCTGGATTGCAACACTGAGTCTCTGAAAGAGGAAGCTGGTCGCCCTGTGGTCCTTGGTTTCTATGATGAGCTTTTCACCCAGCTCTATTAAGAACTTTAGAGCACACTTGCCCCATGCTCCAAGGGTCTCCGACCCTATTGGGATGAAGTTATAGCAAGTGGGAAGGTCTTCATATTTGCCGATCTTCTGGGTCTCCCTGTGGCTGGCAGCTCCACCCCCTTCCACTACGGAGTATGGCAAGTAGGTGTCTGCCAATGTGGCGGCACATGTGTAGTCCCAGGCAATCTGCTTTCCATCCATATATATATATATATATATATATATATATATATATATATATATATATATATATATATATATATATATATATATATTATATATACATATATATATATTATATATATGTCGTGCCGAATAGGTACGGTTTTGCCTTAAATAGCAATGCTCTTCTTGCCGAATAAGGCAAGCGAAAATTTGTGTATGCAATAATTTCGCAAAAATCATAAGAGCTTCAGTGTTTGATTCCACTATTTGTGGCTATCATACAACCGTATCTTGAAAAGATTTTTTCCTGAGTTTACGATGAAATATCCTCGTTTTGTATATGAAATTTAGTTAAGGACTTTCCCAGGTCCCTTTCCCATGTTTTCAGTATCTTACTCTGTAACCTTCATTAATCAGGATTTTTTTTTTCTCTTTCTCTAGCATTATCATACTAGCAAGGCTCTAGTATTTTACCGAGAATATATTACCACCTCCAGCATCATAAAAGTCCTCCTAGTAATTTGGTTTATATTTCGGCTATATTTTGCAGCTTTTGTATTTATCTTTCACAAAAAGCTTTCAAGATCATTTTAGAAATTCAGGTGAATGTAATGCGTTCACTTTTTTTTTTGAGGATGTGGAGAATCTCGTTATAGTTTATTAGATTAGCTAAACAGAAATTTGTTACGCTGAAGCTGGAAATCTTGATATTTAGCAGTTCATTTATAAATTTTTTTTGGGTCTCCAGGTAGTCCTGCATTTTTACAAGATTGTTTTCCGGTTTTTTATATAAACTTGTCCGTGAAACGGGCCTATACATCAATTTTTTTTCTGTATCGCCATTTTTCAACCAAAACACAATGTTCCCCATTTCCTCCTTTGTTTCGCCAGTTTACCTACTTGTAATTAAATGTTCAAACTTCACTTGCACGAGTAACCAAGTCCTCCTGCGCACTATGTTAATTAAGTCCCAGGGTGATAACTCGTTGCGTTCTATTACCTTGTTTTAGCAATGTTCACAAATGGTTTATTTACTTCTTTAAATAAATTAGACACATGTGCAACTCTTGGGTATCTTTATTGAGGAAACGTTTCGCCACAATAAAGATACCCAAGAGTTGCACATGTGTCTAATTTATCAACATGTCGGTTCTCTGAACCATTCATCTACACTTCTTTAGATAGGTCAGTTGGATTCACATTAATTCGCTGTTTAAAGTCCCTTCTTAAAGGCGTTACTTATGCAAACAAACATTAATGTTTTATATCCGTCCTCTTGCGTATTTTTTGATTAAGCCACCGCATCGTCCACTTTATCTTTAATTTGATTTTAATATTTTTTCTTGTATAACTCAGATTAATTTCTGGGTTTGTACTCATTCTGTATTATTTCCATTTTTTTTTTCCTTTCCTGTGAATGTCCCGCATATGCCATTGAATCAATCGCTTCGGCTGCAATCATTTTTGGAACGAAGGGATTTATTTCGGGTTCATACAATGTACGTTGCAGAAATCTTCGTTCATTTTATATTTCTCCAGTGTTGAATTTTGCCACATTTGGATTTTCTAAAATGATGCCTATGTATTTTATTTATTGAAAGTTCATCAGCTCCAAACACACACTTGTATTTGAAGAAAAATATTTATATGTAATTGAAATGAAGTTTTTGTTATTTGCTCATTTGGTTTGTTTCACTGTGTATTTTTCTAAATGTAAAACAGTAATGTCCAAAAATATTGCAGAAAAGCTCATGAAACACGGAAGTGTTTAGGTGGAAGTATTTTGGTCTTTGGGTGTGTAATCCCACACAAAAGTGATGTGCGTTTTAGTCTGTGTACAGTGTTTATGTGTCTGTATCCAGTGTACTTAGTCTGTTTACATGCCCACACTCTGTACACACAGGTGGTGCCTCCCTTTACAAATAACAGTTACAAGGTATCAAGTTGCACAAGTCTAGCAGCATCACGCCTTTTCCTGCTTACCATCTTCCCCTCAATCTCTCTAACAATGTTCTTTCCGTGTTTTCCTCCTTACCATTCTCCTACTTTTCTGACGGGCTGGTGTGGTTCGTGGCGTGACGACGAACTCTGAATGTTATTCTTTTTCCCGCAGGTGTGAGTGCCGGGAGGTGCTGCCATCACCTGTGCTCCCAGGAACCTTCTCTTCTTCCCACCCAGCTGTGAGTTCTAGAAGCTTTTCCCGTCTCGACATTCTACCCACTCGTCGACATTTGCTCGAGAAATTAAAATAGGACAAGACTTCTTTTTCCTATCTAGTGTAACAAAACTGTGACATAAACAAGTGAAGAATTCATAGAAAACGGCAGACAAACATTCTTCATGGCGACTTCTGGATTTTATTTAGGTAAAGGGTACATTATGCAAGACAATCTTGGCAGATGAACGTAGTCATGTAAATATAATATGCAGATGATAAAGACTGTCGTTTATCGACCTTGCAACAGGGAAGGATGTTCAGTCTCCTGTCAGAGGACGAACTCGCCCTCAGTCTGTCTCGTTAACCGGAAATCTGACAACAATCATAGGATAAAACGGCCATCTTGAAAATAATAGGTGAAAATTTTAAGGACTTAAGCTGTACTGATTAACCTAAGCTCAGCATGTGATGGCCATGAGCCTGTGCAAACTACCTGACCTCTCGGAGCCAGCCAGGTCACGCTCGTGATTTTATTCAGACCTGAATCCTCTTCCTTTCCTCCCTCAAGTCCCCCTATACTCAAAGCCTATCAGATCACGTATTTTATTCTGTGGTGACCTGAATTCCCTTTCCCCTTCTTTCTCTCCCTCCCTCTTTTCCCTTTCCAACCTGAGCCATGACTCAATGAAAGATCGTTCTGACTATCGAGGTCAGCATGATGACCTAGTAGTGACCTCGTAATCATTGCTCTTCAGGTCACTCTTACCTGACGTCTGGGAGTCTAGCCTGCACCATGAAGGTTGTTATTAACTGGGTCATCATATTATCGCTGGCCAGGACAGTAGCCGTTCAGGAGCCTGCCAACGCCACCACAACCACCACGTCAACCACAACAACAAAGTCAACCTCAACTACAATCACCACTGCTTTAAAGGCTCCAAATACCACAGGTGTTGTGGCCAGGACCACAACGTCTACTGCGGGTGAGTAATTACGTGTAATTTTCACGAAGAATTTTGTTTTATATTACCCCATCAGTTACCCTCAACACCATTACCAACACCGACACTATACGCCCTAATTCCGCCACTACTATCATCGCCACTATTACTCACACCAACACAACCTGCAACGCCGCTATCATTATCACCACCACTATCATGAACATTATCACAGCACCCCACTCGACTACTGTATAAGAAAAAATTTGATCGATTATATATATATATATATATATATATATATATATATATATATATATATATATATATATATATATATATATATTATATATTATGGAGTTGTAAGTCGGATAGCAATAAGCTGTAAATACAATTCACCAAATCATGAATACAATTTCCCAGAATTAACCACAAACTTAGGAACTGATCAAACAACCATTAGGTTGAAACTGGAAGATGCTGGTCAGTGTTAAGGATATACTGGAAGATGCTGGTCAGTGTTAAGGATATACTGGAAGATGCTGGTCAGTGTTAAGGATATACTGGAAGATGCTGGTCAGTGTTAAGGATATACTGGAAGATGCTGGTCAGTGTTAAGGATATACTGGAAGATGCTGGTCAGTATTAAGGATATACTGGAAGATGCTGGTCAGTATTACAAATATACTGCAAGAGAGGAAATTATCACAATGGATAGCTGGGAAGGGGGGGGGAGTAGGTGTCCACACTGAGACTATCTGCCGACAATTATCTACTTTTATCTAGATTAAGAACCATCGAGTACTACTTAGGCGTTTGAGGCAATGATAGAAAAATAGAAGGTTCTCTCCCCACTATCCAATCCCTCCGGCCTCTTCCGAAAGAACAACAAAGGGATACAGGGAAATAAAGCATGCCATATTAGAATTATTATAATCACAGGGAAGCGCTAAACCCATATGATTATACAGCGCATGTGGGGGGGATGGAAGGTTGAATACCTTCAGGAGCACAGGTCCAACTCCCTAGATCAAAAGCCCCTCACCAGCGTCAAGGAACCTCCCTTGAGGGGGTCCTATTGGAAGCTTTTCAAAGAATTGAAATGGATGTTCAATGGAAGGCACTGGTTACAGCTACATCTACTCAATTAGCAATGTTTCTATCTTAACTACGCGAGTTACTCCACCGTCACTCACAGAGCTGTGTGCACCATTAGTTCTACATCTAGGTGCCACCAGCTCTGCAGTAACTATCTCTATCACTTACCTGGTCTTTCTGATGTAGTGGTGACATCAGGCACCCACATCCGACATTGAGTAGGTGGTGATATTAGGAACACACACCTGGCACTGCGTAGGTGGTGGTGACACTAGTTACACACACACCCACACTTGTCACTGTGTAGGTGGTGAGAGGTTGGTGGCACAAGACACACACAGTTGGCACTTTAATTACATTCTGTTACATCCTGCTGTGTGGGAAAGAGAGAGAGAGAGAGAGAGAGAGAGAGAGAGAGAGAGAGAGAGAGAGCGAGCTGATGAAGTGGGGGAAATTATCTATCAAGAATTGCAAATTTTTAATTGTAATTAATTTCTACTAAGAAATGTGTAATAACTATTTTCAATTTGCAAATTTGCAATAACAGCCGTAAGTGTTTCATTATATCTGGACACAACAAAAGTGCTTTTTGCTCCATGTTTGTCATGACTTGTGTTGTATCTGGAGTAGATTTTTTCTTAGTGCCCTTAAGGCAATCCTTATGTCTGCCAGGCTTATAAATGATACTGACTTGATACGTTTTATTATTATATAAATAAGGTTTATCAGGTACACAATGCCGACACGATGGAAACAGATACAAATGTAGTGCAATGAGATACTTTATTGACAACGTTTCTCACATGACTTTTTCAACAAGGATCTGATTACACTGTAATTACCGTATTTCACGGCTTATTAGAAGCATTTTTTCATAAAACGTCTCTAAAAACCACCCTGCGTCCTATAAACTGAAGGTCAGTGACGGGAGTTGTAAGTTTGGGGTGCGGAGTGGGCCGTAGCTCTCCCAGCTACGTCCGATGCCGAGCCATTGAAACTAAAACAAATCTTATAAGTCGCGTCTTATAAGCCGCGAAGTACGGTATGTGAGAGTCATTCATATCGTGACCAGGTCCACAAATCCTCGAAGTGTTGCGAGTTAATTTCAACAATTTTAATTTCAGTGATGTTAGATTCGGGCAGGGTTTAGGGGTGATCGTGAGCTCACTTTGACGTATCAACAAACTTATACAGAATCTGATCTCCAAAATCATCACAAAACCGTCTCTCAAGTTCACTCTAATATAAAAAAGATGGATAATTCTCTTCTTTCATGAGGATCTATTGTGTAAAATCAACGATGCCTGGCTTTCAAGGTATATTGTGAATCTACTGATAGAGACGATCAATACTGCTACTCCAAACAAGATACCAGGATCAATAGAGAGACGAAGTTGGATCTTGAGCCCAGCTTCTCTTAGAGAAGTACTCACAAGAGCTACAATATATTCACTCTAGTTCCTTTCTCATTGTATTAATGACTGTAGGAGAACACAGAGCATCTTAAACATAGCAACCTCAAATAACCCCACTACAATGTACGGTTTCGTGCGGTAACGTTTTCAAGGCATTAGCTTATGCCGGTGGGAGAATTGGACCTGCCTCGCATGGGCCAGTAGGCCTGTTGCAGTGTTCCTTCTTTCTTATGTTTTTAAGTATTCAGTGCACCTTCAAGATATGAGTATAGCCGCTAGTTCCTCGAACACCATCATGGGCCTAGTTAAGAAAATTAGCTTCACGCCAGCAGATTCCGGTGCAGGAATCTACATATCCTGTAGTGGCTGTGAGACTGTATGTGGGAGAAACAAGAAACTTGAAGTAGCACCTCAGAGAGCATAAGTGCACATGCAGAAGGGACTATATGACACGTGTCATCTGATTAAGTGGGGAAAGGCCAGAGTCATAACCAAGGAGAATGATCTGAATAAGAGACGCTGCCTTGTTCTTCACTGATCGTAGTCTCCTGAACTGTTGTTCAGAAATGTAGTAGTCTTATGTTATATGTACTGGTCAATTTCTTGGTGCTCAACAGAACACCGGTATCAGGTGACCTGACCTCCACACACCGCTGACCTGACCTCACTTCTCTGCTCCTGTATATATACTCTAAATCTCATGCACTATATTGGATTCCTTAAGTTCCCAATGAGCGAAAAGATTCTTAATAAAATATACTGCTATTATATGTATACCACGTTTCTCTCGCCAGTCTGTCATTACCTAGTATCACCAGTATCACCACGTTTCTCTCACCAGTCTGTCATTACCTAGTATCACCAGTATCACCACGTTTCTCTCACCAGTCTGTCATTACCTAGTATCACCAGTATCACCACGTTTCTCTCGCCAGTCTGTCATTACCTAGTATCACCAGTATCACCACGTTTCTCTCGCCAGTCTGTCATTACCTAGTATCACCAGTATCACCACGTTTCTCTCGCCAGTCTGTCATTACCTAGTATCACCAGTATCACCACGTTTCTCTCGCCAGTCTGTCATTACCTAGTATCACCAGTATCACCACGTTTCTCTCGCCAGTCTGTCATTACCTAGTATCACCAGTATCACCACGTTTCTCTCGCCAGTCTGTCATTACCTAGTATCACCAGTATCACCACGTTTCTCTCGCCAGTCTGTCATTACCTAGTATCACCAGTATCACCACGTTTCTCTCGCCAGTCTGTCATTACCTAGTATCACCAGTATAATCACCACTGTTTACTATCACGTCCCAGTTCTTGCAGTCTGTCATTACCTAGTATCACCAGTATCACCACGTTTCTCTCGCCAGTCTGTCATTACCTAGTATCACCAGTATCACCACGTTTCTCTCACCAGTCTGTCATTACCTAGTATCACCAGTATCACCACGTTTCTCTCGCCAGTCTGTCATTACCTAGTATCACCAGTATCACCACGTTTCTCTCGCCAGTCTGTCATTACCTAGTATCACCAGTATCACCACGTTTCTCTCGCCAGTCTGTCATTACCTAGTATCACCAGTATCACCACGTTTCTCTCGCCAGTCTGTCATTACCTAGTATCACCAGTATCACCACGTTTCTCTCGCCAGTCTGTCATTACCTAGTATCACCAGTATCACCACGTTTCTCTCGCCAGTCTGTCATTACCTAGTATCACCAGTATCACCACGTTTCTCTCACCAGTCTGTCATTACCTACACTTGCTAGGACTGAACCCAAACAACTACACGCTGAACAGCATTTGCAGTTATCCAAAATCTTCTCACTCGATGTTAATTTTCCGTCCGTATTCTTCTCACAAGTACATCACCAGTAAGGGGCGGCACGAAAGAATCTATCGTCCTTGGCAGATCGTTTAAGAACATAAGAACATAAGAAAGGAGGAACACTGCAGGAGGCCTGTTGGCCCAGGAAATGCATGAATCCTGTTAGCAATGCCATGAGCACTTCGATAGTCTGCTCAAAACAAAGATACTTATACCCGAGTGAGTATTGATTAAAACGGTGTTTTCCTTAAAGCACAGTTTTTAATGGGGTGGTAAAGCTCATATATAGAGAAGCATTGTCTAAATAAAGATCTCATTAAGCCAAAAGTTGTCCTAATACAACTCCCACTCCATATCCTGCCCAGCAACTGCCGCCCATCCTGGCACCATGAGTGATAATCATTCAGATTTGAACGTTGCGTGTTTATCCTTGGCCACATTGTTCCCAGTTGTATCGCAGCCCATCTTAAGTTCCCTCTTTCTTTACCTGTGGTTAAGCTACAGTTTAAGTCTTCCGTAACTTAACCTTGCTTAGCCTAACCTGAATACGCGCAACCTATTATAGAATATAAATTGAGGAAGTGCTGAATGCGTTATGAAATTGGCTTGCGTCCAAATATTGACTCACGGAAGAAGAAAAAAGAAAATGTGTTGCCAACAACCGCAATGGTTACTCTTGCCAGGGACGATAACT